GAGTGAGCCCCTGAGTTCGGAGAGAGGAGCAAGCCAATGGCCGTGAAGTACAAGTGAGTCTGGAATTTCCCAGAGCAAGGAGGCCTGCATGGCAGGGATGAGCAGTGAAAGGAGATGCCATTCAGCTAGTTAGAGGAGTAGATTAGGGAGGACTTTTTGGTCATTACAAAATTCTTTTGGGGAGAGGGAAGGTTAGTGGAGTTTGAGTGTAGTGACATGTGTCTTGGTTTTAATGGTTGGCCAGTGTGTTGCGATTAGCCTGAAGGAAGAGAAGGAATAGGGAGTGATTGTGTTATAGCAAGCATTCGTGTAGAGATCCTTATGCAGTTCAGGGTGTGGGGTGCACCTCAGTGGTACTCACAGCAGTGATCAGGCACCTTTGGACCTTCCTGGGAAGAGCTTGCAAGGCTGTTGTTAGGAAGGAACTACCCAGACTGTAAGCAATTCAGGTGCTGTTCCCAGGAAGTAAACTCTGCCAGGGTTAGCGTGGGAGGCTTCACGGAAGGATATTTGATAGGCCTCAGCGTTCTCACTTTTACTCCTACTGGTTGGCTACTGTGTGCTCTTAACCTTCTGAAATGGTTTATTATCCTACTATATAGCTTAAGTGTGTAGTTGAATGTATAGTCCTAAGGAACTAATTCCTTTACATGATTCTATAGCTTAATTCTTGCTTTAGTTCTGAGGGGGCGTGGACCATAGTCTGTCCTGCACAGGTGAGGGAACTAAAGTAGCGTGCTCTATGTCACAGAGCTCAGAGCTTTGTAGTTGCCCGAGTCCACAGTGGCCCTGTGGAGACAGTGGCAATCAGCTGTTTGCTTGGCCGATAAGAAGGAAGGTGGGAAGGTCCTCTGAAGCGGCTTGCTCCAGAGGAGTAGAGAGTGATCTTGCCTCTGTTGGAAGACTGCACTGGGAATCAATTATTTGGCAGGGATTGTACTTGTTTGGAAATAGCAGAAATCAAACTCTTGATTCATAGGTTTTAAGTAGATTGGTATATTTTGCTTATGGAATGCAGAGCTGTGGGCCTACACTCACACACAGCATGTCAGTGGTAAATAACACATGGAGGCAGCAGAGACTGTAGAATTCTTGTTCCTTGCCATAGGGTTGCTACACTGATGGATTTCATAGACTGAGTGTCTAACTGTTGGAAGGTAGTGAACATGGCCATGACTGTGGGTCTTGGAGGTAACTTTTCTTTTTAAAAAATATGTATTTATTTTATGTGTGTGTGTGTCTGTGTGTGAGTGTATGTGTGTGCAACATGTGTGTGCAGGAGCCTATAAAAGTCAGAAGAGGCACTGGAACTGAAGTTATAGACAATTATGAGCCACCATGTGGGTACTGGGAACAGAACTCAGCTCTTCAGCAAGAGGAGTCAGTGCTCTAACCACTGAGCCATCTCTCCAGCCCCTTTTGTTTTGTGACAGTCTAATGTATCCCAGATGGGCCTCCAGCTGACCGAGGTGGACTTGAAATCTGGCCCTCCAGTTTCCAGCTTTGCAGTGACTTTCCAGGATCCCAGGCCTGTGCGCTTTCGCTACCCTGCTCAGAGAGTATGCTCCTACCAACCCATTTTATACAGTGCTGGGGATCAAGCCCAGGGCCTCTGATAAGCTGGGCTGGCTGTCTCCCCACTGAGCTCCACTCCCAGCATGCTGTCAATCTAGAAACCATGGGCTGTGTGTGTGATCGAGGTGTGTCAGCCCAGATGCTCTAGTGTCAGCAGATTTCCGTAGATTCAGACTTAGAAGAGGTGAGTGGTGCAGTTTCAGGCTAGACTGCAGTGATCTAACTAGACCCCTCTGTCTGTGGGGAAATATGACTGCTGCTTCTCCTGCTGCTTCTCCTCTTCTTTCTCCTCTTCTTCCTCCTCCTCCTCCTCTCTCACCCCCTAACTGTCTCTACCACAGCAGGTCCCTGAATTATAGTGCTTGGGTCTATAAGCTTTGTGCTCAAGTTTAGAAAGGCTTGATAATGATCGGCTCTTGGTTTTGATTTGCATTCCATGTTGTTGATGAATGTTCAGTTCTCGCCAGGTGATTCATGAATTGGCATTTTGGTAAACACAGCCAGTGGAAGACCTGCAGGCTCCTTTGGACAGGTTGCAGCCATTTTCCTTCATCCCTTGCTGTGGACTGAATGTTGCCTTCCTCCCATGTTCATGTTCTAGTTCTGACTCCCTGGGTCAGTGTTTTAGTAATAAAGCTTTGGGGGGTGGGGGGTAGAGTTTGGAGATGAAGATTTCTTGAGATAGGTGTCCCTAGCAAAGAGAGAACCCCTGCTGCCTCCTTCATTCAAGGGCCCAGTGAGACTGCTCCCTGTCACATACACATTCCACCTTTATTCCAGCTCCATACTGGGAGAAGCAGATGTTTGTTGTTCCTGCATCATGAGTAGGCTAAGGTACTTATGACTCAACCACCGTGTGCTGATGCTTCCCCTCTCCTCTGTATCAGGGTCAATAGAGAAAATAGAACAGAAGTATCTTCCTTTTTTTTTTTGTAGTGAGATCAAACACAAAGCCTTGCTTATGCCGGGCAAGCACTCTGCCACTGAGCTACAACCCCAGCCCACAATTATATTCTCAGTGCTTGTAATCTCATTTCATCTTCCAGATAAGCCTGAATGTATAGTGGCTGCCTCCTCCTTTTCTGTCTTTTTTTTTTTTTTTTTTGTGTGTGTGTGTGTGTGTGTGTGTGTGTGTGTGTGTGTGTGTGTGGTTTTTCAAGACAGGGTTTCTCTGTGTAACAGCCTGGGATTAAAGGTGTGTGCCGCCTGGTGCGTTGGGGTGGTGGTGAGTGGTGGTGGTGGTGGTGGTGATGGTTAATCCCAGTACTCAGGAAGCAGAGACAGGCAGATCATCATGAGTTTGAGGCCAGCCTGATCTACCCAGCGAGCTCAGGACAGCCAAGGCTACACAGAGAAGCCTGTCTCGAAAAACCGAACCAAAAATAAATAAATAAATAAAAAAGAGGCATGTACCACCATGCCCTGCTCACAGTGGCATTCTTACTCAGTACAGAGATGATGCTTCAGAAAGATTAGTTACTTTTCCTGGGGTCTTAGAGCTAGTAGTACACTCAGGATTTGGACCAAGACGCAACTCTGGTCCAGGATTGTTTTAGTATACCAGGGTAGACGAGGGTCTGGGGATAAGCATAAGCCCTGCCATGCTCTAAGCCTGTACTTCCTGTCCTGATGCTCCCGTCCAGGTGAAAGGGCTGAGTGACAGGAAAAGTGAGAGCATTGTTTTGGGTTGGCTGGGGGTGTGACAGCCTAGGAGAAAGTGGGATGAAAGAAGGCAGGGACAGTCCTTCTCCACTGTTTTGGGTTGAGGTGGGTTTGGAGGAAAGGGAATTGACTGTCATGGGGAGATGTACATGTGGTCCCCAGGGAGATTTTAGCTTTGGCACGAAGGCTTGGTCCTAGGCAAGCTGTCAGGGAACTCATCTGCCAGAAGTAACCCACTGGGAACAGACTGGTTCCAGAAGGGGCGGATCAGATCCTACCTCAGCGTGATGGAAGAGCTGCCAGGTGAAGGGAAGGGGCCGCAGGAGCCCCTGGTGGGACTCCGGGATAAAGGGAAGGGAAACAGCAGTTTCCATCCTTACCGCAGAGCGCAAGCTCACAGAATAAGACATAGGGGACTGGAGAGGTAGCTCAGTGGTTAAGATTACTGGCTGCTCTTCCAGAGGACCAGGGTTCAATTCCCAGCCCCCACGTGGTGGTTCACAACTCTGTAACTCTAAACTGGGGGATCCAATATCCTCTTCTGGTCTCCTTTGGACACCAGGAATGCACATGGTGCACAGACACTCATTCAGGCAACCCCACCCACCCACCCCCACACACGTAAACTTAAATGAATTAAGAATAAGGCTCAGGAAGTTCACAAGCTGATGAGACAGTGACGGACCGGGAGCTGTGGTGTCAGGTGCAGTGGAGATAGACTGCCCTGGCGCCCTGACGCTGAGCAAGTTTCTTACAGCTTGAGGACTCCCTTTCCTCTTCTGTCAAATGGGCACCTTGCAGGGATGTAGCAACTTGGAGGGATAGCCAAGTGGCAGGAGATGCATGAGCATGCAAACAAACCATGCACGTCATCACGTCTGCGGGAATCCTGCTAGGAAGGAGGTTAGACCAAAGGAAGCTTTGTGCCATGTGGCTGGAGGGCCCAGAGTTACTGGTGGTATGCCAGCTCTTCCTTCCCCTTCCTTCCTCATGGGAGCCTGAGGTTGGCCATTTTCGCTCCTCTGAAGCCGCCCTAGGGCTGGGACATCAAAGCCCAGAGGAAAACAGAATGAGTTTTAAATGAGCAACATGCTGATCAGCCTTGTGGCCAGGCCGAAGCGGGGCCAGATCCAGGGCAGGAAATTTTTAAGGGGAGAGCCCAGCCCAGGCTCTCAGCTGGCTGGTGACCCAGGGGAATGAGTACTGGCAGTCTCAAGTGAAGAGTCCACAAGGATGCTGTTTCTGTGAACTCTTCTGGCTTATAGCTTCGTTTTAGAGGCAGGAAGTTTTGAAGTCCCCTCAGAGAATGAACAGGGATCATTGTCCCCACGAATGCAGTCTGGGGTGCAGTATACGAACAGGTAAGGCATGTTAGTAACTAACTGCCATAGGCCAGGAGCTCAGGGACATGTTCTCCACCGAGCTTGCTTCTTACTGGAGAGGAACCACAGTGGATGGTTTGGGTGTATCTTCCAGATCTGTCTCTCTTCTAATACAAACCAAAGCACATATTCATGTTCATGTAATTCATACAGAGGTGACCAGCATTTAATGTTTTGTATGGTTTTTTTTTTTCTCATTTAACATGTCATTACCTGTTTCATTTCATAGCATTTTAAGGATGTATAGTATTCCATTGTGTGAATTTATGTAGTAATTTCCCACTACAGGGCACTTTACTTTGACCAGACTTTTCCCCATGACAAGCGTCACGACCCTCCTTCCCTCTTTTCCCTTCCTCATGATGGCTTTCTGTCTTGCAGTATTGCTGGAAGCCTGGTGTATTCTTACATCACTTTCACCGAAGAGCAGCTGAGCAAGCAGTCAGAGGGCAATAACAAGCTGGACACTAAGGGGAAAGGAGCCGTATGACCTGATGGCCCCTGCTCGTGTACCCTGAAGACACTGAGGCGTCCTGACTTGGGACTAATATTCCTTTGCAATTGTATGACTCTAGGATTGATTGTTGCCTTTGAAAATTTTTTGACCGTATGTTAACTATGTTTAAATTAATTTATATCAGACTGGAAAATGTACTGGGTGGGTTTTAATTTATTTTTTGTCTCGGATAGTGAAGCATCAGTGTTTTGGAATCTTCTACCCTGTAGTTTGCTATCCGGGTGACCCTGGCAGTGTATACAATGTGTTCCAGCTAGAGCTGCCTTCCAGTGGGCTGTCTCCAGAGGCAATTTAGCTGGGAATGCAGCTGAGATCTGAACTTTCTTCTTTTTTAATTGCATTATCTCCATAGTATCATTACATTTGCCAAAGATAACAGCTTTGGCACTAAAAACCCCACGAGGCTCTGAAGGATTTTGCTTTCCTGGATTGTGTGGGGTGAGCAGAGCGTGCCTTGGAATGTCTGATTCCTCTTTGTTCAGTAGGAGACAAGCATGGGCTGGAGGAAGCTGGCCATCTCTCAGTTCTTCACTCAACAGTCATGCAGTGAACATAGCTGTTGGGCCTTGTGCTGAGTGCAGGGATGCGGAGATGGTTGTGAAGCTCTCTCCTGCCATGGACTGAATGTAAGATGGAGAACTTGATTCTCTGTTCAGCTAGGAAATTCTGGGACTGTGGGCCGGGCTCTTCAGCCCTCTGGAACTGCAGGCCTGTGAGGTTGGAAGCACCTGCCCTGCCCATTCTCCCGAGATCAGAGCCCACAGTGAGACACTGAAGAGCTACACTCTGAATGCAGCAATGGCCCAGCCTCCCACTTCTCTGAGAGGGACAGATAGTCAAGGTGGCTGCCGTCTCTCCCCATGCCTTCATCATGTGGGTATGGTTGGCACTCTTTGGGTTCCTGTGTGCAAGTCCTCATCACAGGCCCAAGGCCCATGCTTCGGAACCGGCTGGTCTGAGGGAAGAGCTGGCCAGACATCTTTGTATTGTTGGGACTTGATCTCTTTTGGGCAAAGTCTCTCCCTCCTTAAATGCCAGAGCTGGGTGGCATGGCTCAGAGACCTCCCTGCTGTGGAGGAGGCTGCGTTTGCCTGGTCAGCAGAGTAGATGGCCTCTGCTCCCTTCATGGGCAGCTGACTGGATGCTGCAGGCTCAAACAGTTTGGATTTTTGTGTCTCATTGGGGGAATACGAGAGTTTTGATTTTTTTTCACCTCTATTTGAATATTTCATCTGTAGGCTCCGCCTTGAATATAAATTTTATAAGAAAGCACATTTGAAAGTTCTCTGCAGTATTATATCAGGAATCTGTGGAAGGTTTTGGTCCGTAGAGCTGAGGCAGGGTCTCTACAGAGTGTTAATGTTTCTCTCTGCTGGTCAGTTCCCAGGCACACTGAGGGCTTTGGGCCTGGGCCCCTTTGCTTTCCTTATTAGGGGCTCTTTAGTGAGAGAAGACTTCATGACCAGCAAATGGACAAATAAATAGGACATAGTCTGGCACTCTCCAGTGTTTAGTTGTTCAGCCAGGGGTCTGCCCTTAGTTGAAAGGACACAAATGAAAGAACTCAGTGATTTGTAAATAAGGCCTACCTGCACAGTTTTGGGGACACTGATTGTAGGCCCACCCCCAAAGAACAGTGTTTCCATTTCAGAGGACTTGGTCCTCAGATCATCATGTAGCTCAGATGAGCCACGCAGCTCTTAGAACTGCCTACCCTGAGCCCTCCCATGACCTGGACGCCCTTTCTTCCCACATCTGTGCAGTGCTGGTTTCTCCCATGAACAGGCTGTGATGGAGTTTTTTCTTCCCTGGGGAGACACACTGAGAGTGAGTGTGGTTCCCATTACATATGGCACACAGCAGACGTAGGGCTGGCATCCTTTCATGGAGGACTGCGTTCATGCAGTGCCCGTGACTTAGCGTGATATGTTTCCCGAGAAGCACAAGCCTGTGCCTCCTTGCCTCCAGATGCTTAGGCGACAGTCTTTGTCCGCTATCTTTTTGAAAACACAAGACAAAATATTCTCTCATAGCCTCTGTGATTCTGCTTTTTAAAAAGAAAAGTATTTTCATATTATGATGGCAAATTTGAAAAAGCGAAAACGGTCTTCTCTCTCCGTGGGAGACAGTTGCATTTCAGAGTGGTGGTTCAGTGAAGACTCGGCTGTCACCCTAAGGTAGCTTCCAGGCCTTCCTCCCTCACCTCAGCACTAAACACACTTGGACTGGCTTCCTCAGCCGCTGGGCGGCTCTCAGTAGTCCGCGATGCTGTCACCTTTCTGAGCCTGCCGTCTTTTCCTGCTGTCCACAGTTCACCTTGTGGAACGAGGAGAGACTCTAGTGTTTTGTTTTTTAAACTTTATTTTGAAAATATTTTTTAAAAAGAAATCTACTGGTTAGATTTTATTGTCACAGAAATGTTCTTAGAGATTATTTTGTTCACAGATGTCCCCTTTCTCGGGCTGACGACCGACTTGCCCACATGTCCATCTCCGACAATGTTTCTTCAATATAGATTTTATTTACCAATATACTTAGTGTTTTTAAGAGGTACTGAGCATTGAGGTATGTAAATCAGGTGACAGAAGCATGACAAATCATGTGCCTAACTATTTTTTTAATGATGTCAAATAAATACTTTTTCTGGAAAAATGTGTATTAGAATTTCCTTCCTGCGTCGAGAGCAGTTGAGAGCTGGGGGTCTGCTGACACTGAAGAAGGTGACATGCGGGTGCTTGTGATCCAGAGGTGGTGACACTCTTCAGTATTAATGCTTTGCCAAAACAGTACCCATGACTACATAGTCACTGTCTGTGACGCCCCTGTGATGAACTGGAAGGAGAGAAATGCTAACCTGTTTACAAGATGTTTGCCCTGCTTGATCAGTGTTTTTAGTGTTGAGTACCTCTACTGGGTAGTAATCCATGAGTAAAATGCGCTCAGCAGGACAGCCACTTTGCTACAGTGGACTCAACAGAGATAGAAGTACATTAAAGTATGGAGAGGGAGGAGCACATGAAGGTATTTTTTTTAAGAAGTTACCATCGTGACTTACTGCAGGTGTGCAGGCCACAGAGCATGTCCATCTTGCTGTGCAGTCGTCCCTAGGTCCCTTAACTAAACTAAAGCTATGGGCATTGGACACACGCCTCCATTTCCCCTTCTTCCAGGCCCTGATGGCCCCAGTTTTTTTCTGTTTCTCCAAGTTTGACTGGCCACGACAAGTGGGATTGTGCAGTATTTGTCTTTTAGGGACTAGTGCATGTCACATAGTATGTCCTCTAGGTCTCTCTCTGCACTACACATCAGGCTTTCCTTGAAGGCTGGTGCTGCTCTGGTGTGTACACAACACAGCTCATTGATTGTCATGTGGGTAGGACTTTTGTCGGCCATGCTGCTGTGAGTGTGGTTCTGCATGTGTCTTGTCAAGATTCTGCTGTCAGTCCTTGTGAATATTGCCCTGGTCAGCTTGCTACAGCCGAGAGTCACCTGAGAGGAAAGCCTTGATTGAGGGATTATCAGCACTTTTCAGGGGTTCCCATAGGTAGAACTCCATCCATCCATCTGTTGTCCATCCATGAAGCCATATCATCTTTTATAAAGTGTAGAAAGCTCCATTTGTCTAGTGTGGGACACATTCAAACTCTGGCACATCTGAGTCAAAGCACCTAAGATCAGCATGAATCATGCTGGGTGCTGTCTGACCTAGAACTCCTTGGGTGACCTGGGTGGTTGTAAGTGCCAGTGCTTACTTAATGAACCACACTCTGCTGATAGAGTTGGTGGGAATTAAAACCAGACCCCGTTGGACGGGTCTCAGCCACACTGAGGCTGAGACAAGTTTACTGCCAGCAATCAGACCTTTTATACCCTTATCAGAAACTGCAACGGCAATTGCCAGGATCAATACAGTGGTAATTGCTAAGGATACAAAGACGGTTGCAAGCGATACAGGGTTCACAAGATTAATGTCTGAGACCAGTTTTCCTGTCAAAATCCTATATGCTTGGCTGACTTCTAGGAAACAGAGATACACAGGCAGTCTGAATGCTCTACTGCCTGAGGGAGGGCCTCAGTTTCCCAGGAACTGAAAGGTACACCATGCCCAGGAGCCATGAACTCTCACCTGAAAAACCTATGCTGCATGCCTCTGAAGGCAACTAGACCAGGCTAATGATTCCTAGTAGGTGGTGTCATGCTCATCACCACTGTGTCTTGTCAAATGCTATTTTTTTATTCAATGTTCATTCTCCATGGATTTAAAGCTGGAGAATAAGCTAGTGGTGGTTTGAATCAGAGGTGGCCAGCAGCCCTAACTTCTGGCCGTTTGGCCCGTGGTGGCAGTTATGATGACAGTTTGCTAAGATGAAAAAGCAGTGTGGGCCGAGGGCTGTCTGTGTTCTTTTGCTGACTGAGCACTAAAATATGCCTTTAGGTTGGTATTTAGTCATTACTTATTTTCCTGATGGACAAATGATTTAAGCAAGGCTAAGGGACTTGTCCTGCTTCCGTCAGCAGGGATGTTTAAATCAGGACTCTGATCCCAGCAAAAGCCCTTGTCTTTCCAGGCAATGCATTCCAGGTAACACTGGACGTCAGGAGGATACGACACGAAGGTAGAGTCGCCTCGTGTCTGCTTCTCCTCAGGTGTGTTTCAGTGGTGAGTACTGAGGACAGTGTTGACAGATGTTCCCACACAATCGTGAAATTATGTTGGAAAATTCTAAATATATTTGGGTAAAGGCATTTCTCCTGGAGAAGGGCTCCTGGCCTCACTTGCTTTCTATTGCTGTGCTAACATCACAACCAAAATCAGCTTGGGGAGAAAGTGTCTATTTCATCTTACTGCTTATAGTCCACCATGGAGGGAAGTCAGTCTGGAACCTGGAGGCAAGACTGAAGCAGAGGCTATGGAGGGACACTGCTAACTGGCTTGTTCCCCATGGCTTGCTAAGCCTGCCTTTTTACAGGACCCAGGACCATCTGCCAAAACGTGGCGCCACCCACTGTGGGTTAAGCCCTCCCACGTCAATCATTAATCAAGAAAAAGTTCCACAGTTGACCGCCCGATAGGCCAATGTGTTAGAGCTATTTTCTCACTTGAGGTTCCCTCTTTCCAGAAGACTTTAGCTTATCTCAAGTTGGAAACCAACAAACAAAAAACAAAAATACACAGCACAGTATCTTTAGAGAAATGGTATTTGAAACTAATTCTTGAAGTTGCATTTGTTTATTTGTGTGTTTGTATATGCATATGTGTGCATGCATGTCCATGTGCATGTGTGCCATGGCGTATGTGTGGAGGTGAGAGGACAGCTTGCAGCAGCTGATTCTTTCCCTCTGCCACCTGGTGTTTGCACTCAAGTTGTCAGGGTTGAGTGTAAATGCTTTTACACACTCAGCCATCTCTCCAGCTTTGAGCTGATTATTTACAACTAGAATTTGGGAAGACACCATAGGAGATAGCTCTCTAGAATTCCAGGGTCCCTGTGGTGGTTTGAAAGAAAATGGCCCCCAAAGGGAGTGGCATTATTGGGGTGGGGTGTGGTCTTGTTGGAGAAAGTGTGTCACCTTGGAGGCAGGCTTGAGGTCTCACACATGTTCAAGATACAGCAAAGTTGTGGGTAAACTCAATTTCTCAATTTCACCCCTGCTGTTCCTAGAGTGCTTATTTTGACCCTATCACTTAACTATAAGACATGCTGTTTCTGAAGCCAGAAGCTTAGTGCCTGGCAGCAGACCCAAACATTTGCTGGGTTAGAGGATATATGGGAATATAACAAAAATTAGCCAGTTCTTAAAACTTTGTGTATGGGTGTTTCACCTACATGCATATCTATGTACCATTTACCTACAGTGCTCAAAGAAGCGAGAAGAGACTGCCCGATCCCTCGGTCCTAGAGTTACAGTTATTTTGAGTCACCAAATGTCCTCTGGAAAAACAGCCTCATCAGTTTAGATGGAGGAAAATTGGAATATGGTTGAGTTTACACAGCTCCAGTGTTCTGCACCAGATAGTATGTACATACGTATGTATTTATAGAGAATTTAAGTGTCTCTTTAGCCCAAGTTGACCTCATAATTGCTGTGTAGGCAGGCAAAGACCTTGAACTTTGATCCAATCCCTTGGTTTCTACCTCCCAGGAGCTAGAACTAACAGGTTCTAACAGATAGCCTTTGAATCTGTTCAAATTATTTATCTTTAAAAAAATAAATACATCCTATTATACATCCTACACTGGGAGTGAGGTAGGAAGAAGTCAATTCAGATAATAAAATACATGAAATCAGGTTAACTTGGATAGACCCTCCTGTATAAGATTCTGAAGAACCCTGGATTTTTATGGTAGCTTTTTCCAAGCAACCAGAATTATGAGACATAAAGAGAAAAAAAAATCAGTTAAAAATAAAAATCAAGATTAAAATCTGAAGTCACTCTTCCCATGTGCTGCAGATTTTGACAATGCCATTTCAATGACTATAAATGACATTGGGAAAGCATATCTGGCTGATACTGATGACTCTCAGTTACACACATGGGTATGCTAGCCAGTACACTTAGACTGTTGGATATGAAAGTGAACCAACAGGTATTCCAAGTACCACCCTGGATTACTTACCCATAGAAAAGTATTGTGACAAAACAAATTTTGTAAAAAGTGTGATATGAACTTCATTGAAAAAGAGAGGAACTAAGTATTTTTAATTATATAGATCAGAGAAAAAAGAAGGTAATGGAGATCTTCGGAGTAAAGCCTCTCTGGGGAGAATAAAAGACAAAAATATACCCCCTTTCCAGGTACAGTGGTACTCATTTTAAATTCCATCACTTCAGACAGAAGACCAAAGCCAGTTTGGGCTACATGTCTAAGTAGGCTGGGCACATAGCCTTGATCCCAGTGCTTGGGAAGCAGAGGCAGAGGCAGAGGCAGGGAGATCCCCAAGTTTGAGGCCAGGCTTATCTACAGATTTTTCCAGGACAATCAGGATAATAGATAATACATAACAGATAGACC